ACGTTGACAATTCTTACTTTTTTTAACAGTTTGTCGCTTTAAAGCTGTAAATTCGTTTAGTAATATTTGGTTACTTCTTGAAGCTTGTTTCTCAATTGCTGCAATTGTTTTTAGCAGCGGCGCTTCGATTACGATATTCTCCTGCTGAAAAAGATTCAAACAACATCGTCGTTCGTCAACGATAAACAATGAACGTTCGTATACAATCTGGAAAATAATGAGAAAGATGAGGAACGAATCTAAGGAAGACGAGTCTGAAATGCAAAAAGAGGACAGGACAATATCGATGTTGAACAATGTAGGGTTTGTCTCGCGAATGCGTTAAGAAAGCGTAATTGTTACGGCAGAGAAGTGACGGCTATTGAAAGAGAAAGTGAAGAGTTTCGTGAAACACTTCCTTACGCAACGTTGCACGGAGTTTATTCACTTTGATGAAAGTGTACTACTTCCCTTAGGACCTGATACTTCTCGCCCTTTCTTGCTCTCCCGTTTCTCCCGTGGATTAAACAGAGGTTGGCGACGTCAGGTAGACGCTTTGGTCTTAGAGACCTCTCGACGTGACGATTTCACGAGAGTCGTGAGACTCGTGACGGTTCACGCGAACAAGCAATGTTAATTCCCCTACCAAGCTGACGAATGCTGATCGATCAGCTGTTTGTTACGGGAACAATACTGTCACAACGATTACGCACCGTTTCGTAAAGAATCAATCTACCGACGTTCCTCAACAATGTTGTAATAAACGTTTAATTGTTTTTCTTTGATATTGATTATTTATTATGTTCTTTTCGAAAAAAGTCAGCAAGTTACTGTTTATTCGTCACTTGATTAGTATTCGTATATAATTCATTTATATGTTATTTAGCGAACTGAATGAACGTAGATGATCATAAATTGCTGTCCTCGATTTTTGTAACATGTTATATCCATTAAAGCAAATTATCGACATACTTGAACAAATTTTATGATAAATTCATGAAGTAAATAGAACATTATATGTACTTCCAAATGAAGTATATAATAGCAAATTTTTCGGAACAGATTCCCGACTCAGTGATTCCCAATGCATTCCAAGTAATAGAGAAATTGTCACAATCATTATAACCAGATAGCGAATCTTTATGCAAAATAAAAATTGTCTCGATCTGCAATAAACGGAAGTCGAATAAAAATATATTTCCTCTGTAAATTAATTTAGTAAGTTGAAGATAATATAACACCGTTCTTGAAGTCTTCAACCGTTTTCATTGTTCTGTTTCTTACGTGTTCATTTTTTCTCGTAAATGCATACAATCTGCTGTTTAATAATCATATATAGGGTTGGCAATTAAGTAATTGCCGATTTCAGTTATATAATAGATGTCTCTCACTCCCATTTTTGTGATATCAAAGCGATGGCAAAGGATCATCGAACAAAATGGAAAATACATTACAGATTAAACTTCGTTCCAAGTAAAAACAAATTTTTTATTTCATTGAACAAATCGGCAATTACTTAGTTGCCAACCCAATACATTTCCAATCAAATTGCTCGCTAACAATGTCCAACAATTTCCCAAATAAATCGTAATATATTCAAGCATCGAAATTCAAGTTTCGAAGTACGAAAGAACAAGTGTCGAACAAAAGCAACGCACAGAGACGCGTCGTTCGGTAAAAAGAAGCGACGCGAAGGTACAGCGATTTTTCTCGACCGTCGGGCGAGGAATGAAGTTGACACTGGCCGAACATTTTGAACCGTCACGAGCTCGCCGTGCCATCAATATCAATTTCCATAGCCGGTGAAAATTGAAGGGTGTAATTGAATTAAAACGAGAGAGAACCGTAATTATTACGAAAGCATTGTCGAGTATCACGAAGATACGCGGAGGAACTCCCAAACGCGCGATACATTATTTCCCTAATTCCCGGCGCATTAACGATCGCGCGAATACTAAAATCTATGTGGGACCGCAATTCGCCGAGTACGCGTGGCCGCGATTTTAAATCGAATCGCGGTTTAAACTGCGCCCCTGCGTATCCTCGCTTCTCGTTCCGCGTGAATCTCGCGGCGGCAAAAACGTTTTCTCATTTCGGTGGCGATACTGAATTTCATTCCGGTATCTTAGGAACCGCGTCGTTTATCCCATGGTCGAGCATTCGAAATTAAACGGATCATTTAACTCCGCGACGATCCGCTCGTGAAAACTCGCCCGTTTTCTCTCCCTGGGTACGCGTAAATATTCGCATCTCCGTCGCGATCTAATTTAATGTGTTCGTTCGTGCCGTTGCTTTTCATGAAATTAGAAGGAAACGTTCCCCAATAAAAGACAGCTTATTTCTTATAATATTGTTACGAATTACTACACTTCTCCCGCGTCGCGGCATTTTATTTACAATAGAGAACACGTACTATAATACAACTAAATTAAATTATGATAGAGATCTTTGAATTAGATGGTGTTGATCGCTCGACGGTCCGATCCCGACTCTTCGATTGTCCGTTGATAAAACACCTCCGTGGCAACCCCTCTCTTCTATTTTTCTTTAAGGAGTTGCTCACAACAGGGCAGTTTCACATTACAGCGACTTGATTTGGACAAGTCGCCGTAACAATATTAAATGACACGAAGCAAAGAAACATAACAAATAGAACTTTGAACTTAAACGTCAAAACATAGAACATAATCCTCTAGAATCGTACATTTTTCCAACATGTTCAATATACGGGATAGGGCGAAAAAATTTTATGTAATTGTTTAAGATTGTTATTAATCGGGCAAATGGAGAAAAGACATTTTAGATGCACCTTGCAAAATATTTGATGTCAAATATAATTGAACAGAAACCACAGATGAAGGTCTACGTTGGATTTACAATTGTCTGAGAAAAATAAAAGACCGCTACTATTAAAAGTGTCAAAAATCTCATAAAATTGAAGAAACTTATTTAATGAAATAAAAATTCTTAATTGGAAGTGAACTGAACTCTCTTTTAACCATCTTCCATGTTGCCGATCCTAATCGATAGACCAGATTTTTACGCATCCATCCAGTAAATTTGTAAAATGCAAGAAAGCGCGTAGATTGAAAACACCGATAGCATATTTATTTTACTTCAGCAGTGTCAAATCTTCTAGTCAATGAAGGAAAACTGTTCCCTCATTTCAATTTTTATAAAATCCCGTAGGAAAACAGAAGTTCGTATAACGATCCTTACCCTGCCAATCAAATTTAACGCACGGAATCTATCGCACCGAGAACGACATTTAAATGAGCCGTTTATTTTGAAAGTGGCATAAGTCACTTTACCGTAATGAAAAGTGGCGATCTTTTAATGTTTATACAAAATTATTTATACTGAGAAAAATATCAGTATCCCGAGATAACAAATACAAGTAAATCTTCTCGAAAGTTAGCATCCATATTTTTAAACGTGTTAAAACGCAAACCCTTAAATATATCGACTTAAAATCAAAGTGACTTATGCCACTTTCAAAATAAACGGCACAAATCGAGGTAAAAATAATTTTGTCACCTGTACACGATTGTCGCGGTAGCGAACGCGTTGAAAGATTAAGAAGCATAACACCGTACGGACGCGTTTGCGGTGTCCGCGGTTGAGCCGTGGAACAAGCGTCTTCAGGGGGAATCCATTTCGCCCCGTCTCTCCCATACGCGTGATTTTAATCGAGGCTACGGTCGGCAAGCGTGTGTCAGTGGCGCCACGAAATTAGTCACATGCAGCGTCATCAGCGATGCCACAGAAGACTGAAACGGCGGAGCACACGCTTCATCTGCAGGAGAGCTCGGGTATCAAACGTTTCGTTTAAGCAACCGCTTCAACCGTCCCTCCTGCTCTCTCCGCCCGCGCCGTCGACGGCCACGTAACCTCCCACGCTTCAATTAATATGCCCTGCTCCGCATCCACCTTGACGGTAATCTTCTCTTCCTTACCTCCTGTCTCTAGATCCCTGCATCCAATCAGCGATCCCTGTAGCGGCGATCTTATCGTGGATGCACCGTTTAGTTTACAGCCACCGCCGTCACCGTTAAACGAGCTGACGACAGTCGAATTAGAAAGGCCGGATCGCGCGGATCACGTTGAACCTCATACTTTCCTTATGACTTAATTTTATTCCGTATACCAAACGGAATTTTATGTATAATCAGTTCTTGATGAGCATTTAAAATTTTTTATTTTATTAAGCTTTCAAATCGTAGATGAGATTTATTCGATGCACAGTGAAGCGAATGTACTGAATCATAAATCTTAAATAGTAATTCATGGGTTATTTATATATACGTTTATATATATATATATATAATATATAACCCATGAATTACTATTATATATATGTTTTTAACCTTTTAGGCACGACGCGACACTATAGTGGCTTCCGCGGATGTCATCTTCCAGAACGACGCGCCACTATAGTGGCTTTCGCGGATGTCATCTCTCTGGACGACGCGCCACTATAGTGGCTTGCTCTAGTAGCTCACTCGCTCAACGTTTGAATCAAATAATCGTCTTCATATGCATTGTTTCACACTTCTTTTGTCTTCACATCGATTTACAACAATCTACAGGATGTTCCAAAAATGTCTCGCAATCCGGAAATGGCGGGTTCCTCGGATCATTTGAAGCAACTTCTTCCTTTACAAAAATGTTCTCCGAGGCACCGTTAACGAGTTATTAACGAAAAACAGTATCCAATAAGAATCGAGTACGGCTGACGCGAGGCGGCCCAGCCAACCAGCGCGCGAAGCCCAGTTCCGCTCATTGGCTCGATCGCCTCGCGCCAGCCGAGCTCGCCTCTCATTGGTCACTGTTTTTCGTTAATAACTCGTTAACGGTGCCTCGGAGAAAATTTTTGTAAAGGAAAAAGTTGCTTCAAATGGCCTGAGGAACCCGCCACTTTCGGATTGCGAGACATTTTTGGGACACCCTGTATATACAGTATCAGACTCTGTACAGTACACATCAGACTCTGCCGTCCAGAGAAATAGCCTCGCGCAGAATTCAGCCGTACCTAAAAGGTTAAATAAACGATTCTTAGTTCGACCGAGATCAAGATCCATCGTCCAAGGTCGCAGTTAGCGTGCGAAAGTTTGACTATAAATAACATATATATATATACAAGTCGTACGGTAAAAAACTGTATCTCTCTCTCTCTCTCTCTCTCTCTGTCTCAGCAGACGAACAATTTGACCTTCGACAGCAAAACGGTCATTAGACACGGTATCATCAGCCACTGTGACAGAGATCTGTCAGAGGACGACGCGTCCGAAGCCTCGGCCCTCAGCGTCAGAGCCAAGAGTTTCTTATCGCTGATCACGTTTAGGGTGTCCGAGAGAGTCTGATTGATTTTCGAAGAGAACCATTTCCATTCCTTGGGCGGTGCACCATCCGGAGGCTGTAGTCCAGCCAGCTTGTCCTCGGTCTGGAACAGGGCTCTCAGCACGTTCGCGGCGGAAGCTTTGCTCTCGTCGCCAACGCTGTCCGCCAGCTCCTGCACCGTCGAGTTCAACTGTTTCTGGAAGCTGCTCCAGTCCGCGGTCTTGTTCCCTCTGCTCCGAGCGATCAGACTCTTCAGGGACGCGATCTCGGTCTTCAGGTCCGCGAAGGACTTGTCGAACATCTCGTGGACCTCGTCGAAGTCCGTCTCGTCGGTAGCGTTCGCTCGGTTCAGCAAGCTCGTCAAGGTATCGTTGATCTGCTGCTTGAAGGCGATCCAGTCCTCGGGGGGGACGTAAGGCCTGATGAACTTGGTGTAATCGAACTTCGACGTGCTACCGCCTTTCGCAGCAGCACGAAGACTCGGCGCATCCTTGCCGGTTCTCAGCTCGTCGTACTTCGCAGCCAATTCCGCCTTCATGCTGGCGATCTCGTCCCTGAACTTCGCGAAGTCGTTCGCAACGGACTGCTTGAAGGCTGCCCAACCGACAGGGTCGTGAGTAGTCGGCCTCTTGCTCCGAATGTCCTGGATGATCCGAGCCAGAGAGTCGTTGATCCGCGCCCGGAACTCTATCCAATCGTTCGTCAAATTAGGCAGCTGGCTATTGTTGAACGTAGCCGATCCCAGAGCACCGCGTTTAGGATCCTTCGCCGAGAACAGGAGCGGCGGCGGCGGCGTGGTCCTGAAGGCGGAGAAATTCTTGATGACCTCGTCTCTGTAGGCCGCCCAAGCGGGATCGCCAGGAGGAGGCATCCTGTCCTTTATGTTCTTCACAGCATCGTCGATGGTCTTCTTGATGTCCGCCTTGTAGCTCAGCCAGTCTTCGTCGGAAGCTTCTCCTCTAGCTGCCAACTCCTTTAAAGGTCTCTGACCGTTAACCTTGTCCCGGAAAGCGAAGAATTTATCCCTGATGTCGGCGCCATAGGCTGCCCAAGCTGGATCGCCTGGAGGCGGCATGTTCTTCTCGATGTCCATAATGGTGTCGTTCAAAGAGGCCGTTATGTCGTCCTTGTAGTTCTTCCAGTCGAAGATCATCTCTTCGGACACCTTGGCCAAGGTCTTCGGAGCAAGATCGGCCTTCATGGAAGCCACCTGCGTCTTCAGATCGGCGAACCGATCGGCGATGTCCTGCTTAAACGCGATCCACTTGGCAGCCGCGGCTGGACCATTGCTCATCGAGGCTATGGACTCGTTCAAGGACTTCGCCAGGTCGCTCTTAAACTTGGCCCAGTCCTGATAGACGTCCGGAGGACCACCTGCCGCCTGCAGGATGAAGCTATCCGGGTACTCCGACGACTTCTCCAACGGTGCTGAAGAACTTGCCGCGGATTCGCGTGGATGCAGAGCGGACACCTGGTTCCTCAGATCAGAGAACGACTTGTTTATGTAGTTCCTGAAGGCTACCCAGTCCGTGTCGACAGTGGCCGTTGCTCTAGTATCGTTGATGTAGGTCACCACGTCCTTGACGGTGCTGTTGATGCTGTCTTTGAACGCGGTCCAGTTGAACGGCATGAACGCGGCTCCCAGCACGGGTGTCTTCATCCTGTCTGCCCGCCAGGCGTCGAACGCCGGCCTTGGGATGTCCTCGCAGGAGAGCATGGGGTTGCTAGGATCGATGGTTCTCATCACTTCTGCCTGAATCTGAGACACTCCGTCGGAGCAGTCGCAGATCAGCCTAGCCAGCGACGTCTTGCGCAGCTCCTGCAGCTGGTCTGGAAACATTCGAGACGATTACTATACAGGGTGTTCCAAAAATGTCTCGCAATCCAGAAATGGCGGGTTCCTCGGATCATTCGAAACAACTTTTTCCTTTATAAAAATGTTCTCCGAGGCACCGTTAACGAGTTATTAACTAAAAACTGTGACCAATAAGGATCGAGTACGGCTGACGCGAGGCGGCCCAGCCAACCAGCGCACGAAGCCCAGTTCCGCTCATTGGCTCGGTCGCCTCGCGCCAGCTAAGCTCGCCTCTCATTGGTCACTGTTTTTCGTTAATAACTCGTTAACGGTGCCTCGGAGAACATTTTTGTAAAGGAAAAAGTTGCTTCAAATGGCCCGAGGAACCCGCCACTTTCGGATTGCGAGACATTTTTGGGACACCCTGTATATACAGTATCAGACTCTGCCGTCGAGAGAAATAGCCTCGCGCAGAATTCAGCCGTACCTAAAAGGTTAAGAATAATAGGATACATGCACACGCTTCGATGTTGGGTTCAACAAGCAAAACAGGCACGAGCATTTTAATTCAAGTCGTACGACGGTCTTTCTCTTTCCATTTTTCAAGGTTTTCATGATGGAAAGTAATAATTAGAAATAAAATGGAAATATTACAACATTTTATTAGGTATTAATCGTTATACTGCGAAGTTTATGCGCTCATGATAAAAATGAGTAGACGAATTACAAAAAATTACAAAGCATTAAAGAAATTCGAGGATGTCATTTACATTGTTATAAAATTAAAATTGTTCAGACGAGAGATGCACCTTCCAATTCAAATTCTGTTTCTCGTGATTCCTATAAATAATTACTAATTTGCACTGAGATCCGTTTTCACCTAACATGGACTACCCAATTATCTTCGTCAGAGTCTTGTAAGATTTGTGAATGTCATTTTCTAAAGTTTCTTTCAGAATCAACGACAGCTTTTCTTTTCGTTCCTACATATATGCATGCGGTTAGAGAAGATAATTAGATGGCCTATTTTAGCTTTTTACCCGAAACGCCTTTATGTAATCATCCTGTGTAAAATACAGAAGAATTTAACAAGCCCGCAAATATGAGAAATATTTGTCGACAGCCATAATCAAATGTAATTATTTTAAATGTAATTTAAATCGATAAGAATGACCACGAAGACCTGCAACGTTATTTTAAACGAGGGCCCAAGCGAGTGTTAAATAAAATTCGGTCGCAGGTACATGCGATGATAATGCACATAATAATTGACTCGATATTGCTATGCAGATTTTATGAATCTTTCGGATCGCTTTACGACACCGTCGAGGATGTTTAGGGGCCAATGGGGGACAAGAGGGCGGAGGTGCGTGATGCAGGATTTGGAGCGTGCCGGGAAAATGGGGTCATTGAAACTACCGTCCAGGGACCACGAGTGACTGTGACGTAAAAAATATTCGTTTAACGAAATTTAAGCAGCGCTTTGTTAAGCGACAGAGATCGTTCTTTACTCACGATTCATTTGTAACCACGAACCGACTGAAAATATTTTCGCGTTTACGTTGCCGCTCGATATTCGCCTCAGTTGGTAACACTTTTCTGCGAGCCTTAAAGCGTTCTGAATAAATCGACGAGGATTTTTGTCATGTTCAGTGTCCTTGTTTCAGAAAATCGGTATTTTCTGTATGAATATTGGTTTATCAGTTTCGATGGAAAATAATGTTATTCGAAAATTTACTAATCTCGTATTTTAGAAATTGATGATTGTATTCACAATTTAGTGACGCCACTAACAGAGAAACAGGGGATTACGTCTAATAACTTTAATTGTTTTTAATTTACGAAGCCAAATGTTTTCTGGAACAGGATTCTGCTGTTATTTCAAGTACTGTAAAATTTCGACAAAAGGTCGATGAAATGGTGTCAGTGAAATGATCATCGATGAAATAATTGTCTAAATGAATTAAATGACAAAAAGTTACTCTAAATTAACTTAACGATAAAATTGGTCAGTAAATAATACACACGTTAATAAACCTTCTTGTATAAATAAAATAAAAAATAAATATTATATAATATATAATAATACTATATAATATAATATAATAATAATATATAATACTATATAATATAATATAATAATAATATATAATATTATATAATATAAATATTATATTATAATTACCATAAAATGGTAATAAACCCGTCCTTGTTTCTCACAATGAGGAGAATTACGCCACTATGATTCTAATCCGCTCAAATTGTCTCGTTCTATCGGGGAAATGATAGCGAATGAATGCTAATCAACATAGTTTGCAAAAGAAGTCGTAGCACAAGGGCAATAGCGGTTTACTTTCGAACGAGGTTCGGGCAGCAAAAGCGACGAACAAGATTCCCAACGTTAGCATCTATAAAATAAAAATAGCAAATTCCGCAGCGGTTCGCTGCGACCGGCGGTAAGGGTCGAGCAACCGGGGAGGAAGGGTGCGACAGAAAAATGGAGTCCACTTCCTTTACGACATCCACAAACTTGAAAAATCCAGACCCGAAGGACGGTAACATTTTATGAAGAAGGAAAATCTGAAGGGAATGTAGAACGCTATCTTTGCCTAGCGAGCACGAGAGGAGATAGTTTAAAGAGACCGAACCGGAGAGGGTGGCGTGGCAGAGGGAGAGCAGCAACAATGGTGGCAAAATGTGCCGACATATTTCTCGCATCTTATCGCAATGGCCGCTCCCGGCGAAGGAAATTCGCGTTTTCGAGATGACGCGACGCGACGCGGCTCGGCTCGGCTCGGTTTCGCGCGTCCCGCGAACTATACTCCGCCTCTGAATGGTAACTTATGCATACTACGTTCGCCGTTTGAGAACGATAATGACACGCCGGTTTGAGTCGATACGGTGTCGTTACCGAGCAGCCGCTGAAAAATTCCCCCAAGTTGGTTCGCCGCGAATTCAATTCCGTTCCCCGGCATTCAGCCAGTCGAACAATTCTGTTCGCGAGCAACATTAAACCTCCATTGAAAATTAACGGAATTCATATGCGGCATCGCCGGATCCCGACCGCGCTCGCTTGCAAAACGCTCGCCCGAGCCGAGCGGGATTTCAACTGCGCGCCGCGATTCCGGCTAATAAAAAAAGTAAATCATAATTCACGTTTTAACCGTTCCACATCCGTTTGAATTGTTAGGCGAGCATGGACGGTCGGCGACATGGAAAATGCCTTGGAAAGCTTGTCGAGTGTGTAGCAACTTTGCATTTACGCGAACGACAACGTCGATTCGAACATCTTCTGTGATTTAAGAAAGTTTGTTTTAATATCACATTTGACCTTGAATGACCTTCGTAATAGCGCGTTGCGTCCGTATCGACATCCGCTATCATATCGCGATGAAAACGAAATATAGCATGCAAAATATAGCAAAGGTGATCCTGAAATTTGCTTTAAGCCCCCACCTGCACAATAAAGTGTAATATTAACTACAAAGTAAAGTGCAATATTCGCTCATAAAAATTGGCCATATTGTTACAAATGGAGGAGACATTCAAGGTGGTCAAAGTTATCGTCCCACCCTGTATATACGGATCGGTGACGAATCAGGTAGTAGGGGAAAGATATCCATCTGCTGGCGAGCGTCGGAGGTAACCGCCATATACAGTAACTCTCATTAATATTCGGACACTTTTCAAAACGCAATAATTTGTTTAAGACTAGGATAAACGATTTGAAATTTTTTTAGATGATAGAAGAATTAGTGTACTAGACAATAGTATACTAATGTATGTAGTATTATATATAAATGTATACAAGACAATAATAGTATATATAAATGATAGTATAATAATATAGTTACTATTAGTAATTATATTAATAACTAATACTAATATCTATACTAATATAATACTAATAACTATAACTAATAACTAATACTAGAAGTATAATAATAGAGTATACTATTATATAACTATAATTATTACTATTAATTATNTATAAATGATAGTATAATAATATAGTTACTATTAGTAATTATATTAATAACTAATACTAATATCTATACTAATATAATACTAATAACTATAACTAATAACTAATACTAGAAGTATAATAATAGAGTATACTATTATATAACTATAATTATTACTATTAATTATTAGTACAATAATATAGTTATAATTAATAGTAATAATTATAGTTATATAATAGTATACTCTATTATTATACTTCTAGTATTAGTTATTAGTTATAGTTATTAGTATTATATTAGTATAGATATTAGTATTAGTTATTAATATAATTACTAATAGTAACTATATTATTATACTATCATTTATATATACTATTATTGTCTTGTATACATTTATATATAATACTACATACATTAGTATACTATTGTCTAGTACACTAATTCTTCTATCATCTAAAAAAATTTCAAATCGTTTATCCTAGTCTTAAACAAATTATTGCGTTTTGAAAAGTGTCCGAATATTAATGAGAGTTACTGTATATGGCGGTTACCTCCGACGCTCGCCAGCAGATGGATATCTTTCCCCTACTACCTGATTCGTCACCGATCCGTATATACAGGGTGGGACGATAACTTTGACCACCTTGAATGTCTCCTCCATTTGTAACAATATGGCCAATTTTTATGAGCGAATATTGCACTTTACTTTGTAGTTAATATTACACTTTATTGTGCAGGTGGGGGCTTAAAGCAAATTTCAGGATCACCTTTGCTATATTTTGCATGCTATATTTCGTTTTCATCGCGATATGATAGCGGATGTCGATACGGACGCAACGCGCTATTACGAAGGTCATTCAAGGTCAAATGTGATATTAAAACAAACTTTCTTAAATCACAGAAGATGTTCGAATCGACGTTGTCGTTCGCGTAAATGCAAAGTTGCTACACACTCGACAAGCTTTCCAAGGCATTTTCCATGTCGCCGACCGTCCATGCTCGCCTAACAATTCAAACGGATGTGGAACGGTTAAAACGTGAATTATGATTTACTTTTTTTATTAGCCGGAATCGCGGCGC